ATAATTCGACAAGGACAAGTACACAAAATCCTAATTGTACAAGGACAAGAATCATTACGGTCGACCGCGTTGCACGAATGGTCGACCGTCTTGGGTAAATGTGAAACAGGTCGACCTCTTTACACAAATGGTCGACCGTTGTTTATAAATGTGAAACTAGTCGACCTCTTGACACTAATGGTCGACCGTATTTTATTAAGGCCAAACAGACGAGGTTCCATCCTTATTCCACATGGTTTTTGACTTTGCTATGGTATCATAGCTCGACCTTAAGCGTCACGAGGTCGACCTGTGCTCTGCCTACGGGTTTGCCCACTTTGAGTATGTGGTCGACCACTTGTTCTAGACGATTGAAATCGTAAATTCATTCACATTCATAATTGTATAACAAATCTAATAAACGATAAACATTCAAAATCCAAAATGAAACAATCTCGCAAATACAAATTCAATGTATTGTCCAAATAATGCAACATTGTAACTTAACGACTTCATTTCTTTGCTTTTTTGTTTGAACTCTGTCTCTCTTTGCCTCGTTCTATGCATTCATCTACTACATGCTTGAAAAACTTTTCTCGTGCACGGTTTTCAAAATGTGTAGCCAGATACCATAGTATCTCCTTTCGAGCCGGTAATTTGTGTTATTCTCTTATCTGCATTATGGCATGTAAGACTTCGTTACAACTAAAAAAAGTATAAATTAAACAAGTTATTTGTTTGACGATATACTCACCACTCTATCCAGATCCTTGGATCCATAGCACATCCACTGCATGACGGGCACACCACACTCGGTAATATTCCTTTGCCCTTGAACCCGTAGCTCTTCAAAATTGAAATCTCCAAAATTTGGTACTGCTACATTGCTCATGCGCTCCGGTTTGAAAATTTCATCAAAATTGGACAACTACACACAAATAACGAATATTATATGCTTCTAGCATAATACGTGACGCTTAGTAGTCAGAAAATTATAGGAAACACTTACCAATTTCTTGCATAGTGCTGATTTACGCCTACGATTCGCCTCACTAGTTGAAGGTAGACTGTCAAGCAAAAATGCAGTTTTTTGCTGGACATTGACGAGATACAGAAACCAATGACGTGCTTCATCGTCAAGAACTGGCATAAATATCTAGCAACAAAACACTCACTATATGTCATAAACAGCGAATACAAACAAATGCACTTTCGAAATTTAATGATATAGGGACATTGACTAACCTTCTGGCATGCACTAACATTCGGCATAAACACCACGCCATCATTCATCAACTTGTTACGAATTTGTCTGGTCTTCATGTTAGCGCGTACCATTTTCTGCACCATGTTTTAATTGAGATGAATTGACATGGTACAATATAAATAACTAGTTTATGACAAATAATTTGACATTACGGCTCTTACCGAAAACATATTTGGCAAATACCATACATTTGGCTCTTTCACATCATGTTTTTCAGACATTGTTAGTGCCCTTGCACACAATCCACTACCTACCATCCAACAATCAAACACAAAATCATCGTAAATCGTAACATAAATAGTGCACAATTCATACGAAACTCGTAGTAGTATAGTACTTACTGATGAGCAAACCCAGCTATTCTCGCTAATGACCGAACTCAAATAATTTTGTTGCACGTTTTCAGAAAAAAAGTCAACAACGGTCAAACTCCAAAAATCAAAATAACAGAAATGTCAATTGTGATTTGCAACGTACAGGTTGACCTGTTCACAGTCACGGTCGACCTTATTGGACAAATGGTCGACCTCATGACCTAAACGGTCGACCACACGTACTAAAAAACGTCTTACTTGTCCCAATTCGTGTCCCCAGCATTATCTTTAGTAACAACATAATACAAGTCTTCAACTGGATTTTGAAGATTTTTTGTGAATCCTTCTAGACCCTCCACTTTCATGACCTACAAATCATAGTTAAAATTAAAGTAACATATGAACACAAACACACATTATAGATGAATATGTAACATAAACTTACCCCGTGCTTTTCGAAAGGACTCTTAGATTCATCTTCATCGCTATCAGCACTAAATAATCCTTTTCTTACAAAAATGATCCTTCTGTGGAGTGGTGATGGAGTCACTTTCATATCGAGGTCTCTTGTACTTAGGAGAGGAACCCTTGCTGCCATTCATTGTTTCACTCTGTCAAACATATAAACAAAACAAATTAGCACTAATGATAGGAATACTAATATCTTCAATCACATATGAATATACTTGGATACCTTTAAATTGTGCTCTTTCAATAAATCGTCTATGCTCTGGTAGCAATTTTCAGAGTCATCATGGTCTTCCTCCTTTTTTACCAAAGTCAAATTTCTTTCCTATACCATCTCTTCCGCCATTGTCCATTCGTTCTGCACTTATATCTTTGATAGCACCTTCTAGCCTCTCAAACCCGTCCTGCATCATCCCAGTCATATCTATCAGTCGAACTGACAATTGCTCCACTTTATCACGCATGGACTTCTGAAAGTCATTGACTTGTGTTTGACACACCACCAGCTTCTCTTGTGTGGCTTTCAAAAATTTCATGATTTCACCCAAATCTTGATGCAGTCTCTCATCATGCGTCATTGTCTAAACAATTTAATGAAAAATTCAAATCATAATTCAACTACAAATTTCTACAATTGACCAAAAAACAAAGTCCTGGTCGACCTGACAAATTATTAGGTCGACCTGGAAGACAAATAGTGACTACCACAACCATTAAGGTCGACCTCTGTTCTTCCTAGGTTGACCTATCCAGCAGGAAAATAACAATTAACAACAAAAAGTAAGTTCAAAATTAAACCGAAAAAAGGATAGGTCGACCAGATATCTGGCGCGGTCGACCTTTTCAAGCACAACATAGTCATACAAACAAAGCCAAAGTCGACATTCAGGCTGAATAACCAAAACAAACAGAAACGGTCGACCTAAAAACACATTAGGTCGACCAATTGGGTTGATCTTCGTTACCTCGCATGTACAGAAGTCCAAGTGTTGTGCCCTAAATTCAAATACGAAGAATTGTCTCGTCAGGTCGACCTGGTTGATGTCAAGGTCGATCGAATGGTATTCTGCACGCAACAATATATCAAATTAGACGGTGGAAATCACGCATTAGAAAAGATGACGGCGAATGCTACATTAGGTCGACCTCACCTTAGACCTGGTCGATCACTTCCAACACGTACAACAGCAACCGCGAACGATCTTCTTCACAAAGGCTCTAAGTCGGGAAAAAAACCTAATTCAGAATTGGTGGCGTTGAAGGGGACTTATATTCGTATTTATAGAGATTTAGGACGTGAATGGGTCGACCCAATTCGTTTCCTTGTCCAATTGTGGAACCTTTCTGGTGTTGGAATCCATATCCAATACGGATACGTTGTGAAGGCGGTCGACCTCTTTATAATGCGGTTGACCTGTTAGGTGCACAAGGGTCGGCCTATGAGGTATTTGGGTCGACCTTTCATTCTGTTAGACCACCAAAGCGGTCGACCATATTATGTAAGAGGTCGACCGCGTCTCGGAACCTCACATACATGAACTAGTCAATTCGGTCGACCGCCTTTTAGATTAGGTCGACCGAAAAGTCCATGTCACGGTGACATGCATGTCACCGTAGCAAAATCCTAATCTTTAATGGTTCAATTTTTAGATTAATTCGAACAATTTTAAAAATAACTCGTTTGACAACAGTTTCTTGAAGTTACTAGGGCAATGAGTTATTTCGAAATAACTCATTTTACCACTCTACTTTTGCCAAATACCACACGCCAAATACCAGATTTGCATGATTATACTAAAAGAGATACTATAATCCAATTACTACTGAAATAATATTAAATTACCAAATAAATAATTAATGGTGTCTTTTGGTTGCAAATATTGATATAACCATTACTATTAGCTAGTGTACTTTACCATTATGATTAATTACATAACAAGTTTGCAAGTCATATAAATTGATTCAAAATTTTGACTAGCTTTTTTAAAATTATGTATATTTACGAGGAAGAAAGAAATCGGTTAAAAATTGAGAAAAATATTTTAAATTAGTGTAATAAAATGTGTAAGTTGGTAACGAGTAAGTTACTCGATGCGCTGACCCGAACAACCCGCAACCCGATCCGCCTGCAACCCGCCCGAGCCAAAACCCGATGAACCCGTAACCCGATTGAACCCAAACCTGATTAACCCGCAACTCGACTAATCCACAACTCGTTTGAACCCGAACCAGATTGAACCCAGCCCGAACCCACACGATTGACACCTATAATTGAAATTGTTAACTAGAAATTAGTTAAAGGAATTTAAGAAAAGAAACCCATTAACATAGAAGCTAAATGACTAATTATTTTTTTGTTGAAAAAAATGACTAATTATCCAGCCACGTGAAAATTTAAAATTAGAAATTAGTTAAAGGAATTAAAGAAACCCATTAAGTCCATTACCAAAACTCACTCACGCGGATCGAACACTGAACCTAATGGTAAAATAACTACTCCTAATCTGCTAGACTGCAGTAATAGATTTGCTGTGTTTCTGCACGATATTTTATTCTTAATTTTAGCTTAGTTTATACGAAATTTTGGAAACGCTCGCCGAATTTACTCGTAGAGAACTCGACTATACTAATCCGTCTAATCAACCCGACTAGATCGCAACTCGATTGATCCTTAACCCCGTACTAAACACGTATAAAACCCATATAATACTTTTACTATTTGTAAAAATTAAAAGGAGTTGAGTTAATAATTTTATTCATTAAATAGGTGTTATACAATTTTATACGTGTTTTGAGCGAGGACGTCAAATGAACAAGAAAAATGAAACAACTAGATATTAGTACAGGTACGATAGTTTTAGACAGATAAAATACGTACAAACATCTATATGTATAATAAACGGAGTATTTACCAACTAAGAACCGACCAAGTAATTATATATTGAAAATAAATTTAAAAATATTAGTACACCTATATATGTGTTGACTATATCCACCCATCCCATGCATGCAAAGAATCATGCGCCGCCAATTACCCTGTTACACCCCATCTTTTTCTAAGCCGAAATGACGATTATGCCCTTGGTCCAAATTTGTCAAATTTCACCGTAGTGTCGGAGAGGACTAAATATGTGAACTATCGGTTCAAGCAGTGTCGAATTTCGACATCAAATGAGAAAGTTACGGACATTAATTGAGTTTCGGATTAAACTCGCTCGTAAATTAGGAAATGCCCAAAATACCCCTTGAACTAATTAAAACCCTACTACTTAAATACCTAACTCGGCCTCACCACTACCAATTAAACCCTACTCACCTAAGAAGAGCTAGTGGCAGCCGAGGCCACTTACACAAGCCCCTTTCTTTTACCCATTGCTCACAATGCCCGCGGCTGCTCAACTGCGTTCATGTCACCACCATCACTTGCCATTACACCATCATCGTTGCAACACCAAGAACAAGCAAGCGTCAAGGTCGTTGATGCACGTAGCTCGGAAATGGTTATAGCGTTCATTGCAGCCGAACTCGAGATGCCAAATCGGTGGAAAGCGATGGGAGGAAGAGAGGAGCGTTGGCTAGTTCGGCATCACCGACGTTTTAGAGCTCCGTCCACGACCCGGCATAGCCGACTTCGACCATTCGTCAAGTGGTGGGTATCATCTCGTAGAGGGCAATTCCAGGATCGTCACCGTGTCGACGAAATTAAATTCCGACGTCGGACAAGGGAGAACCGAGCCTCCCAAGTTTGAGCAAGAATCTGCCGAGTACAGGTACCATTCGTGGAAATTCAAAAAGTTAGAGGATTAAGTGTGCAATTTTCCAGAGAGGTCGTGGTCAGCTGTGTTGACTGGAAAAATTGCAGTTTCGGTTCCTGGAACTTTTAAACTGACAGAATGTTTATTTTAGTTATAACTCGATCAATTGACGTCCAAACGAGGAACCGTCTGCGCCTACGGAATTGAAGAAGCGAGGGGAATGTTATAGGAGGGAGTTTTGTAATTTTCAGAGTCAAAGCAGAGTCATATTTTCGAGGTGAGTGTAAAGTGGGTAAATTCTACACCTTACGGTTTTTTTTCAAGTATTTGCTTTGAGTATTTTTAAGTATTGATTTACGTGATGTGCGTGCAGTATCTGATTCATGTTTGATATTGCATGATTATGTGTATGATTGATTATTTGTGCTTTGCTTGAGTTATGGTTTGAGATGATTTTGTGCTATTTGAGGTGATTTTGTTTGAGCTATGCTTGAAGTGAATGTTTATAAATTACTTTGAAATTTTTACGAGTATAAGTTATTATTAAAGAGTAAGAAACAAATTCTTTTAAAGAAGTAACTCACCTTCAAGAAGGTGAAGTCATTTTAAGTGTTTTTAGTCACTAGCGCCAGTCCGTTGCCATTTGAGATTTTTCAGATAGAGCAGTAGTTATGCTCTTGAGATCTTTGAGACAGAGAAGCAGTTATGCTCTTGAGATTTTTAAGATGGGCAGCAATTATGCCCTTGAGAATCGTGGTGAAGAGCCACCACGATAAGTTTAAGATGTTAGGGGGATGAATCGTTACGACTTCCCTAACTAAGTTTAAGTTTAAGGAAAGCCTGGATGGCTTCTCATACGTATGAGTTGGCAACTGGACTAGCTAGTGAAGGATCCCAGTGTCAGTCAAGTGTTTAAGCCAAGATTTGAGTTTTAAGAGAGGAGAGTAACTTCAACTCCCTCAAAGTTTAAGAGATAAGATTTTAAGATTGGAAGTACAAACAACTTCCACTAGTTAAAGTTAAGTGTTTAAGAAAAATTACTCAAGTATGAGAATTATTAAAACGTAAGGGCGTAGACTGACCCCAACTCACTCACCAGTTTGAAGAGGAAGAAGCTAGAGGAGCAGTTAGAGAGCAGCGAGATCGAGAGAAACAGTTCTAGTGAAGCTAGCTAGAGGAGGACGGTACGAGCGTCATAGAGGATGTCTAGTCAGAGTTTTGCACACAAGCAGCAACCTTGAGACTAGTTAGTTTTTATGTTTTATGATTATGAGTATAGACTGGAGATCAAGTTAAGTTTTTAAAGTTTGAATCTAATTTGCCCACATGTTAGGGCTTTGCTTTGAACTACAAATGTGTGTTTTCAGTATTTTATTTATTAAAATTTTTCCCAGTTGAAATTTAAGATTTGAGTACTTTATTTATCAAGGGCATTTTAGTAAAAGTAGTACCCGGCCGGGTTAGGGTGTTTCATACCCAATTCCCATGCAAACAATCTGCATATTTCTACAAACTAGCGTGGCCCCGGCCAGTTGGCCGGAGGAAGGCGAGGTATGGAATTTGATAATGTAATGGGGTGTATAGCTTATTGTTATATAGTTTTTTTGGGAAACACGTGATAAAAATAGTGAATTTTAGCAGGAAAGAGACATGAATGATGCAACGAATAAAAAATCGCCCTTATGAACCAAAATCAAGTACTTGTTACCCTGTGAAACAATATTGTTTCTGGTAATATGATGAGGTGGAGTAAGTTTTATAAGACCGAATTCCATAAAATCGAATAAAAAGTCGCCTATCCCGTCGGTTTTCGGGAAATGAGCATCTCACAATCGTTGCTAGCTTTTACTCGGCCCGTTGGCCGATTAATTTGCTTTATAAAACTTTCATCTTGTCGTCATTGTGCTTTCTGATTTTTGTCAGGCCATGATAAAATCTAAGGAAATCAAGAACGAACAACACGATTTGGGATAGGAACCGCCGTTGTCGCATCCCGAGAAAATGGTGGTAAACACGGACTCACCTGCCAAACTGGTTTGGATTGAGATTTTTATCGGGTATCATGGAACCATGTGATTATAAATTAGACTTGATCAAAACGGGCCAAAACTTGAAATTCAGCATGTTTGACCGACCCATGCCAAATTCTAATTATTCTTTACTTTTAAACTTTCTATTTGAAAATAAAAAATAGTGAAAGAAAAGAGATGACTGCAATTCGCCATTTGCATATCACTTATTCGGGAATAAAACCACAGAAATTCAAAAGGAACTGAAAATGTTTAGGATCGTTTTAATGTTTAAAATAACCAAATAGATCTTTCTGTTTAGTTTTTTACTAACAAATACCAAACGATTCCCTATAAAATACACCATAATTTGATCATTATGGTATCAAATAATTATATAATATATATTTGAAATGATAAAAATTTGACTAATTGGGTTGGTCGAGGTTGAACCATTGAATAACTTTAAAATACATTATATTTTAGCCACTAAGATATAAAATAATAGCATAATATATATTATGCCAGAGAAAATAACTTGTTTTAGAATGACAAACCAATGATGTTCATTTGTTTTACTTGATGGCCAAATCCCGTGTAGGTCACGCCCATTCAACTCTTTTATTTTATGCTTAGCGGTTAGCCCATTAAATATCATGCATTAGCTTATTGTTAAATTTTTTATTTTTAGCAATAAAAAGGAGTATTGTTTTTTCCTTTTTATATATATATTTTATCACCATGGAAAAAAAAGGGCTTAAAGAAAAAAATTGACACTCCTGGACCCGTTTAAATCTGCATGTGTATGGTAAGTTGGCTCGTTCCACAGAGGAAAGAGAAAAAAATTGACACTCCCTATTCTACCCTTCCTACAAACGCTCCTCGAGCAGGGAATTTGAAATGGGGGAAGGTTTTTTCCTCACTGCTATTATATATTTTTAATTTAAAAAGATACAACAAATGTACTTAATGTGATTGGTTATGATCTTTGCTTTTCTTTAAAATGGTCATGGTTCGAATCCCAGTACGTGTCTTTTTAATGAATAAAAAAATTAATTGTGAAGACCAAAATGTCCTTCCTGCTTTCACTCTCGTTGCAGGAAATTTGAAATGGGGCTCCCGTTTTTCCCTTCGGCGTATTATATTATGTGTAGATTTAAAAAGATACAACAAATGTACTTAGTGTGATTGGTTATTATCCTTGTTTTTCTTTAAAATGGTCATGGTTCGAATCCCAGTACGTGTCTTTTTAATGAATAAAAAAAATTAATTGTGAAGACCAAAATGTCCTTCCTACTTTCAGTCTCGTTGTAGGAAATTTGAAATGGGGCTCCCGTTTTTCCCTTCGTCGTATTATATTATGTGTAGATATATTATAGTAGAGTTGAGACAAGTTTTTCAGCATTTTAAATTTTCTGCAACAAGAGGCAAAGTTGGAAGGGTAATTATGTCTTCGCAATCATTATTTATTTTTTATTCATATGAAGAAAAATGGGACGGGATACGGTGACAACCCCCTTGGGGGTTGTCAGATTCACAACCAAGGGTATTTTGGGTATGAAAAAAAGAAATATATTAATTACCTTTTTGTATTAATTATATTGGGAATTAAAAACCCATATTAAATACAATTTTTTCTGAAATTTAAATCCTATACATTAATATCTCTATCTATCTCTCTCTCTCTTCCTTTCTCCAGCAGCCACTCCGCATCGACCGACAAACTTTTTCTCCGGCGATATCTCTCCGGCAGACTCCCTCCGGCAACCTGAAAAATGTACCAATGCGTTAAAAAGTGTACCAATCTATTAGTCTACTGGTAATTAATATACCAGTGCTAGTGGTACGCTACCAGTAAGTTAAAAAATGTACCAGTACTAGCGGTACCAGTAAAAAATGTACCAGTACTAGTGGTACGCTACCAGTACAACGCTACCAGTAGAGAATAACACATCGCTACTAGCACTGGTAGCGCTACCACTAGCATTGGTAGCAGTACCAGTAGCAAATAACACAAAATAAAAAAACAGATGATAGTGGTACCAAATGATAGGGGCTGGTATTGGTACCAGTGGTATTGGTACCGGTAGAGACTATCAGATCTGGAAAAAAATTAGGGATGAGTCTTGACCTCGCGGTGGCGGCGACAGGGGAGGACAGCGGCGCGGCGGGGCGCGGGGGGAGGGGGGGGGGGGAAGCTGCTTCCCCTTGATTGTCTTCGTGGCGGTGCTTATGGGAAGCTGCTGCAGGTGGTGGACAGATGCTGATGGTGGGTGGAGAGATGCTGATGGTGGGTGGAGAGAGGGAGGAGGCCGGCGGCAGGTGGTGGAGGCCGACGACAATGCTGTCTGGAGAGAGGGAGGAGGGAAAGAGAGAGATGAGGGGGAGAGGGAAGAGGCCGGCGGCAGTGCTGTCTGGAGAGAGGGAGGAGGGAAAGAGAGGGAGGAGTTAGGGTTTTTATTTTATTTATATGGGAGGGAGAATGATTGGGTGTGTTAACATTTTTCCTTTCCAAAAATACCCTTCTTTTAATCCTAACCATCAACTTAAAAAAAGAAGAAAGAGACAGGAGAGAGAGTGTATCCAACGGTTAGTGAGTGGGTTGTGATCACCGTATCTCATCCCAAGAAAAATGTACATCAATTTCAAGATTTGAACCATGGTCTTTTCAAACAAAGATAACAACAATTACCAATTACACTAAAGAAATATTTTGTATCTTTTTAAATACAAAATCTACAAATATATTATAGTAGAGTTGGCGCCAGTTTTTCAGCATTTTAAATTTTTGTTGCAACAAGAGGCAAAGTATGAAGGGTAATTGTGTCTTACAATCATTATTTACTTTTTATTCATATGAAGAAAAATGTACATCAATCTCAAGATTTGAACCATGGTCTTTCCAAAGAAAGGCAACAACTATTACCAATTACACTACAAAAATGTTTTTGTATATTTTTAAATACAAAATCTGAAAACCTAAACTCTAAAATCATATGACTTTTCCACTACTATAAGCTAGCACGCTAACTCTCCCGTAAGTACTTTCTTTGTTATTTGATATTTTAAATTCATATTTTGATTATTTTTAGTTGAGTTTATTAGTAAATGTAATTTATATCTATCTTATATATAGATTATAATTTAAAAATTGCAACCCAAATATCATTGGTTCAAATATTGCATACTGAATTGCATTATTAAATGTGTATATGTGATGTAGAATTCTTAACTTGTTATTAATTTTTATGACTATTTAAGCAACGATATTGTAATGCAAACTATAAGTGACCAGTTTTTTGAAAGTTTTAAATACACATCATAAATACATTGTAGTCAAATGAAATTCCGACCAACGGGTCGGACAACAAGCTAGTCCTCCATCACTATATAGACGTTCCCGGTCTAAACAAAGGGAATTGAAAAATTCCAGGCTCCTGCGGCAATCCAAGGAAGGGTTGCTTTGTCTTTTTGGATGAAGCATTTTTTATTCTATAACCCCGTTTTCACTACTGTAGTTCAATCATTAGCTTCCCGTTCTACTTAGGTTCTATTAGAACAAAATATTTATGAGTTTGGGCTTAATTTGTTAATTCAAATACATTAAAAAGTATCCAGAAATTCAAAATATAATTGTCGTGTCAAGCAAAGTGTGTTCGTCACGTGGGTTTCATGCCACTGTAATTTTAATTTTAGTTAAATACATTATTAGTTTAATTACTTAAAATACGTGTACTAAATGTGGTATATGTGTTTACTATGTGAAGTATAAAATGCATAGTTAGTATAATATGGTACGGGAAAGTTCAATCTATATATGATTATCTTTTGTAAAAAAAAAGTACGAGAAAGTTGCGTATAAAATGCATACGAGTATTTAATTTCGTCTCTAAACTAATGTTACGTTAAATAGTACGTTAATAGTCATAGATATATAAAAAAATGCATCATCCAAAAAGACAAAGCAACCCTTCCTTGGATTGCACAAGAGCCTGGAATTTTTCAATTCCCTTCACACTCCATGTTTAGAGAAATATTTATCATCCGAAAAGAGGAAAAAACGAATTTTTTGTCTAAAGAAATAAATAATAGTAAATTTAACAATTTAATTCATCAAATACGGATATTAAACGTGTTATATAGGTTTTATAAGCGTTTAGTACGGGAGTCATGAAATGAACGGAAAAAATTAAACAACTTGACAATAATACGGATATGAAAGTTTTAAACGGATACAATAGGTACAGGTACATATACATGTATTAAGCAAAGTATTTACTAACTATGATAATAGTACATAGACGAGAATTAAATAACATAAAAAATAACTATCGTTTCATAACCTTTATATAATGGATCTTTATTGTACAAAACAATTGTAAAGTATCATTATAAAAGCCTTACGTAATAAACGGTCTTTTTACGTAATGAATATTATTAACCTCGCTTTACGTAAAGTGCTAGATCATTACAGATGTTTCGCATAATGCTTCCGATTTTAGCTATTATGTGAGAATTAACTATCGTTCCATAACGTGTACGAAATGTATGTATATTTTACATAATAGTTGTAAAGTATCATTATGGTAAATTAATTATTTATGGAAATTGCCCTCCCTCCCCCAACAAATACTCAATTTATAGGTTACTGTGTAGTGTGTAGTCTCCTTAGGGCTTAGAACATGAGAAGACGCCCCTACTCGGAAATTGCTTGGTCCATGGGCTCCATCCGTCCTTTTCGTTTGGGCCTCCCCGCGTCTGGATATTTGCCCATTGCGGGATATTACGTGTTGGAGCCGCGTCTGTATTCATTTCTCTCGACTCCTTTTTACTTTTCTTTTTGGGTCTTATGAACGTGACGAATAGAAATGGGGTAGGTGTTCCTCATCGTCATCGGTCCCTCCCGGCCGATATATTCCTTAAACGGGCGGGCTCCCCTCATCCAGTTTGCCTCTTCCTTCCACTTTCTTTGCCCACGCTTTTGTAGCTCCCTATAATAATAATAATAATAATAATAATAATAATAATAATAATAATAACAATAATAATTATTATTATTATTATTCCATTTCAGATTTGAAATTTTTTGGACAAAATCTCAATTTAGAAATGAAATACTAAGAGATTGTTTCGTGATAATACGATTTACAGATTTAGTAATCTCATTTACGGGTGCTCAACGTCCGGAAGGGAACACACTCATGAGAATCACGGTTTAATAAGGAACGATATTTCATATCAAGGGTCGGACCATCATTGCATTTGGCCCGATCCAAATTTCAATTCATACTATTTTTCTTCACTTTTTATAAAATTCATAAAACCAAAAATTAAATAGCATTATATTCAATTGGGTATAGACCAGCTGAAACACATATTTGATCGAGTACGTTGTCACGCTTACCTTGGATTTTAAGATTCTGCCGTAAAAAAATTGAAGGAAAAGGAATCTACACAATAAATAAAAACCAAATGAGAAAACTTGAAGCCCCATTTCAAATTTCCTGCATCCAGAGTGAAAGTAGGAAGGACATTTTGGTATTCACAATTACTTTTTTTATTCATTAAAAAGACACATACTAGGATTCGAACCATGACCACTTTAAAGAAAAGAAAATATCATAACCAATCACACTACGTACATTTGTTGTATCTTTTTAAATTAAAAACATATAATAGCAAAGACGAAAAAACCATTCCCTCACTTCAAATTTCCTGCTCCAAGAGCGTTTGTAAGGAGGGTAGAATAGGGAGTGTCAATTTTTTTCTTTTTCCTTTGTGAAACGGGTCATCTTACCGTACACATGCGGATTTAAACGGGTCTAGGAGTGTCAATTTTTTTATTCTTTAAGTCCTTTTATTTCTCCGTGGTGGTAAAATATATATGAAAGGGGAAAAACAATACTCCTTTTTATTGCTAAAAAGAAAAAAATTAACAATAAACTAATGCATGGATTCTAATGGGCTAACCGCTAACCATAAAATAAAAGAGTTGAATGGGCCTGACCTACACGAGATTTGTCCATCAAGTAAAACAAATGAACATCATGGGTTTGTCATTCTAAAACAAGTTATTTTCTCTAGCATAATATATATTATGCTATTATTTTATATCTTAGTGGCTAAAATATAATGTATTTTAAAGTTATTCAATGGTTCAACCTCGACCAACCCAATTAGTCCAATTTTTATCATTTCAAATATATATTATGTAATTATTGGATATCATAATTGTAAATTATAGTGTATTTTATAGGGAATCATTTGGTATTTGTTAGTAAAAAAAATAAACAGAAAGATCTATTTGGTTATTTTTAACATTAAAACGATCCTAAACATTTTTCAGTTTTCTTTCGAAATTCTATAGTTTTATTCCCGAATTAATGATTTGCAAATGGCGAATAATTAGAGTTTGGCATGGGTCGGTCAAACAAGCTGAATTTCAAGTTTTGGCCCGTTTTGATCAAGTCTAATTTATAATCACATGGTTCCCTGTTACCCGATAAAAATCTCAATCCAAACCAGTTTGGCAGGTGAGTCTGTGTTTACCACCATTTTCTAGGGATACAGGAACGGCGGTTCCTATCCCAAATTGTGTTGTTCATTCTTGATTTCTTTAGATTTTATCATGGCTTGGCAAAAACCAGAAAGCACTATGACGACAAGATGAAAGTTTTATAAAAGCAAATTAATCGGCCAACGGGCCGAGTAAAAGCTAGCAACGATTGTGAGATGCTCATTTCCGAGAACCGGCGGGATAGGCGATTTTTTATTCAATTTTTTGGAATTCAGTTTATATAAAACTTACTCCACCTCATCATATTACCAGAAACAATATTGTTTCACAAGGTAACAGGTACTTGATTTTGGTTCATAAGGCTGATTTTTGATTCGTTGCATCATTCATGTATCTTTTCTACTAAAATTCACTATTTTTATCACGTATTTCTCAAAAAAAACTATACAATAATAAGCTATACACCCTATTATATTATCAAATTTCATACCTCACCCTCCTCCAGCCAACTGACTGGAGCCACGCCTAGTACTTGAGTAAAGAACAAGTAAAGAACATGGAGAAAAAGCCAAAATGGATGACAAAAATATGAACGAGCCAAAAGAATAACCGATAGGGAATGAAGAGTAATTTCCCATAAAATATTCTTTTTTACATTGCCACGCAACACGAGCTTTTGACGGGTGTGACCTTATGGACCCGAAAAATCGGGGCGGGCAGACTAGTACTCAACCCGCGGGCCCACGGCCCACACGCCTTCTCTGCTGAAACCTTTAAAACGCAGCAAAATTCGTTGTCCCCTCTCTTTCCCCATTCTCCCTCTCGAATCGCATCTCCTCCCCCAATCACAACACAAATTTCCCTCCGCTCAATCCCTTTTCCCGGCGGCCAAACACCCCCAACCCAAAATCAAGCGAAATCAACAACAATGGCGGAAGCAGCAACATCCTCCCCCTCCTCCGCCGCGGCCTACCTCCAGAACATGGACGATCTGCGGAAGGTGTTCGACAAATTCGACACCAACGGCGACGGCAAGATCTCCCTCTCCGAGCTCGCCGACGTCCTCAGATCCATGGGGACGAGCTACGCCCCCCCGGATCTCCAGCGCGCCATGGACGACATCGACACCGACAAGGACGGATTCATCAACCTGGAGGAGTTCGCGCAGCTCTGCCGCTCATCCTCGGGGGCCTCCGCCGCCGCCGAGCTCCACGAGGCTTTCGATCTGTACGACGAGAACAAGGACGGGCTCATCTCCGAGTCCGAGCTCCACCAGGTGCTCAACCGCCTCGGGATGAAGTGCTCCATGGAGGAGTGCGCCCGGATGATCAAGGGCGTGGATGCGGACGGCGACGGATGCGTCAATTTCCAGGAGTTCGAGAAGATGATGGCCACCGCCAACGGCGCTACCCCCGTCAACTAGGCTCGAAATTGAAATTGTCCCCCCGCCCGTCGGTATCTTCTGCTTTTCTCCGTTGTTTCCGCGTTTTTTTCTTTCTTTTACAAATTGTGATGTTGTGAAATTCGAATCTGAAATCTGGAATACTCATTAGCGGGTAGCCATTAACGGATGCTTGCGGGGGTGATATTAGGTCACCCTTCCTTATTATATCTGACTCATACTGCAAGTACCACATATCTCTGATTAGAACCTTGTTGATGGATTACGGTCGTGATGTAATTGTCTCTTCTGTCTGAATAATGATTTATTGAAACATTACTACTGCATTAGGCTACATTCTTGGAACCACAATCACTTTGTCCCATCCAAGTCGTACTTGACTTGAGATGGCGAATCATGAATAAGGTAGAACCGTTCTCTTACGGGCCTCGAACGATAATACGATTCGAGGTCTCACCTGTTAGTGTTGTGGTATATGATTCACGATTGAACCTCTCCCAACAACTCGAGTTATTGGGAGCAACTGGTTCTTGACATGGTATCAGAGCCTTCTGTGACCGAAAGGTCTTGTGTTCGATTTCCCGTGACCCCCATTTGTTAAACACATGGTATTCTTGTCTTCAGACCTGTGGAAACTTCAAACCCTTGTGAGTGGCTTTCGTTTGAGGGGGCGTGTTAGTGTTGTGGTATATGATTCACGATTGAACCTCTCCCAACAACTCGAGTTATTGGGAGCAACTGGTTCTTGACATCACCAGCGTTCTATGAATATCCGACAAACCCATGAGAGCACGGTGGAGGTGAAACTGTGTTACTTAGAATGTTGAGTGGCTGCTGCAATGATGAATAAGTACTCTTTGTATGAGTTGGATGCTTTAATGTGTGTTTATGTGAATAAAGTGCGTTTAGGAGGGAGGGTTGGTTAATGTGGGTGGGATGATGATGATGCAAACATGGTGGAGATGTGTGTGTTTAGCTCAGTCAGTTTAACAATGATTTAAACTTTTAGGGATTCCATGATTGTTTTGGCGTCACATGGATTCAGGCCTTGGTGGGTATGGTTCTAGTCTGGTTGGCTTGGCTGTGGAGAAAGTTGTTTGGGTGGTCAAAGTGTTGAATTGTCAGGTCAAAACCCGACTAATTCTGTAGTGAAAGGAGTTGCTGGCTGCATTAAAATTGAAGATGGAGGGACGGGTGCTGAATGCTGATGTATGGGTGGGTGGATTTGGTCCATTTTCATGCATATTTTTATTTATTGAAGGGGAAGTTGATCGATGATGATGAAGATATGGCAATATCATAAAGAAGTGAGGAGGTGACAAAAGAGAGAGGCGATGGATGGGCAATTTGGGAAACAAGAGAGTTAATGTGACTGGCTTGTGCCAGTTTGCTTACCATTTCAGGGTTCATAATTGGAGGGATTTAGTCAATTCCTTTTGTTAATGAATTGGCTAATTAATCGGGCAAGTGGGTATAAGCTGGTGGTGTCAACTTGGACGTCTGTCTGACTTGTACTATTCTGAAATTTATTTACTGGGTTTCCCTTTTCGGCCTCTAGAAAGTGTTCCCAGAATCTTCTCAGCCATAACAGACACATAGGTTTAGACCAAATGGTTTGCTCGGACGACCGCTGTATCCTAGTACAGGAGTTAAGTGATTACAATTTCTAATCTGATCCAATCTTTTCGAGCTGGATATTACTTTACTCACAGCTGTCGAGTTGGAGAATGGGTACCACTTTTACTTTGTCATGTCATGTCCTGCTCCATCTTTCAAATATTTAGACTCGATTACTACTTTTACCATCTCTAAGTCATTTAAAAAATGTTCTTTATGTATTCTTCCAATATAATTAAATATTAACATCTTTTAAAATCAAACCACATATAAGAATGCGTCGATCTGTCCGTCCCGTATTTGCGAGAATATTATCCAATCTAAACTACACTAAGTGCGGGACGTATACGAGCATTGAGGTACATATCTGCGTCATTGCTATCACTAACAAGATTTCAAGTTCAATAGTCTTCCCTACCAACATTACATAGACATCGCATGTGTGATTTGGCATCCAAACCTGGTGTCCTTTGATCGCATTGGCGAGACTAATTGTTTGAAGTTTAATAATTGATTGAAAAGCATTATTACGAAGTTGTCAAAGTTAGAACCATGTCAGCATTTAATTTCTTCAGGGATGGGGTTAGTGGTTGGTTAAACCCATTACAATTTTATCATTGGTATTGCTCTAAAAATATTGGTAGTTTGAGAATTCGTGCATGTGAAATGAACCGATTGTTCCAACAGACAACATCAAGTAAGAAAATACCAGTGTTATTAAAGCCGGGTCGAGCGGTAAAACCGCCACCCGGTCACAAAATCGGCTCGGAACAGTCAAAAAGTCGTTCCGGTTTTAGGTAGCGGCTGGCGAGCCGCCGAGGCGGTTAACCGTTCGAGCCGATCGAGCCGCTCGTCCGGTTTTTACCATTTAGCCACTAAATTTAATTAAAAAAATTGCAAAAATTTGAAAATTGAAACAAACCAAAAATGACAGGCTCTCAAACTGAATCTTTATTTCCATTTCACAATTTCGAAGGAAAGAGATGAGCTTTGATTAAGAAATGTCCACTATTTATACTGATGATAACGTTTATTAGGTACCGGTTCTTTAACGGTTTTTAAACGGTCTAATGTCGGTTGGACCACTAAAGTGCGAACCGTTCGCATTACCGAGTCATGTTCCGGTTCGGTTCTGACAACATTGGAAAATACTATTTGAATGTCGTGATCAATAACAAAGAATAGAACCAAAAAGGAAACATTATGGAGTATTTGTGTAATTCTCAGCTAGTCTAGTCTTTTCAAGCATTTGAACACATCATCTTGTTGTAAATGCATACTTTGAAAACGAGAGGCTATAAAGTATAAAGTGCAAAAAAAAAAAAAAATTAGGGGTGACATTTCGGTTATTTCGGTTATAACCGATCGGCCGGTTATCGGTTAGCCAAAATAACCACTCCCCTTCCGAAAACCGCCTAAATAGGCTTCGGTTTCTCGGTTATCGGTTAACCGACCCACTTTTAAGACCAAAAACCATTTCGTCTAGCCTCCGATAACCGACCGAAGTTCGATTACTTCGGTTATCGGTTAGTGAATACCGGCCGATTATCGGTTTAACCGACCAGTTAACCGATAATCGGTAAGCGAACTGCCACCCCTAAAAAAAACCTTGAAACATAGAAATTGGTGATTAAAAGATGCGTTAAGTAGCAGCAAATTAACTTATCTATTAAGCTATGAACTCGTGATAGATAGGATCATGTGTTGCCCAATACAAAGAACAACTTTTTTTTTAAAGAGATGCACTTGTGAGGGAGAAAGAATCTTGCAAATAATTAGGCATAATTATTGTATCTTTGCCGTAACCCCGTCATAATCCTCCTTTCCATTTGGTTACGATAAAGTTCCTTAAAGCTTAATAAAGCAACATCGGCTAATTAGCCTCATCATTAACACCGTGTTGATACCAAAATTATTTTGGTCCGAGTTAAATGTTGCGACATTTAATTTGATACTGCGTGATAGAAAACGATGCCATTTAGAGACAACCAACGACACGGAGAGGTTAAACGGCGTCGCGAAACGCAAGTAAGTCCAACAACACCGTGACACTAGTAAACAAAGTTGTTTAGCTGAGAGCAACGTCGTGGTTTAAAATGCGACCATGCTTGATGAGGTCTACCATTACCGCGTCGTTTTCTCAAATTGGTGTTGTGAGGTTAGTGATGCCGAGGGTGCAAGCTCAACGGCGTTGCAAGGTGAGCGTGAACCGAATAATGCCGTGGTACTTGAAACAACATTGATTAGTTAAAAATAATGTCGTGGAATAGGAAAGCGACGTTATTTAGTCCAAAACAAAGTCTCGAGTTTGGTCAAATTGATGACTGGGTTGGAGTGTTGAGTAGTTCATATCACTGCGATGTCAACTAGGCGGCAAGGTTAGAGGCCAACTCAATAACGTCGTGAAGTTGCGAGCTTGACAATACCGCGAGATCGAACAGTGTCGGAATGGAAAACGACACTGTTTAGTGAGAAACAACATTGAATCTTGGTACATGTTTTTGAATTTGACAGGGTTGTAAAACGACATTGATTAGTAAAAAGCAACATTGCGCGGGGCATCAACAACACTGCGATCTTGGCAAACGACGTCGTGTAGTAGAGGACAACGTCGTAAGCCATGAGCCACTATTGTTGGTAAAAAAAATGGCGTTGATATTGTGAGTTCAGTTGTGTCGTAAGGCTGAGAGCTCAACGCTTCAGCGTTTTTTTGTTACGCCACCGTTTTATGAACAAGGGTGACTGTTGTTTGGCTTTAGGAGCCAAGATGGATTATCGAACCATGGTGGATAGCTACAAATTGGCTCGACGTCGTTTTGGCTTAGTCTTTACTAAGAGGCTTCTCAGTCGTGGGAGTTACGCAACAAGGTGGAAGTTACTCGCACGATTTGAGAGGAAGGGAGAACGTTGGACAAAGGCGGAGCGAGACGGTAACTGAGACTACGAAAAGAGGATGGGGTATAAACATCATAAAGAGAGAAGCTTGGGAAATCAAAATCAAATCACAACGAAAAACACAACAAATCTCACATTACATGACGACATGTGCAAAGAGATAGTATGTGAGCCAAGTAAGTCTTCATCAAAAGCTTGATGATATCCAATATAAATAAGGAAATGAACAAATTAAGGAACTTGTTAATGGTAGTACACATCACACATGTGATGTGACCATTATATCTCTATCAAGTTTTTAGTATATCATGCTTCCGTGTTAGGCAGTTTTTCTTAGATTTCTAGTGTTTAGTCGGTCTCGTCGTGTGGCCTTTCCTTTTCCGTCTCTCTGTTTTAGGGTTCTTCTGGGTTTGTTCTCCTCGGGGCTGGAGCTTGCAGCTTGAGAAACTGTAAGATCTTGTGTGGTGGTCTTCTCTCAAGTTGGTGGTTTCATCATCCATGGTGAATCCATTAATCGTTGTCCTTGTCCTTGCCTAGCCTCTCTGCTGCATTTGTCCTCCTTCTTATTCGGGGTTTAGAGTTTGGATGATGGAGTCTTCTCTGGTTCTGTTGTGGTGATTGCTCTTTGGATCATAGGGCTCTTAACTTCTTATGCTCTCCTTGGACCAAGACGTGCTGCCTCTGCTCCCGTCGCCTTCTCAGCTCCGAACAATCCGATTCCCAGCCCTTTCCACCGCCAGGCAATCTCAGGAGGTGGCTTATAGCGTTGTTGAGTTCAATAGCCATGAATTTGGCCGAGTCGGAGGAGCTGATTGTACTTGATGCCACTTTAGTTGTTATGGTTGCAGGGGAATTATTTTGGGTTTACAGTATTTGGATCAAGTGTTCTGATCTAGTGATTTGTTCGAAGATGTGTTTCGCTCTTTGTTGTTTGTTCCTTGCAAGCACGGATTGGTTCAAACTTTTGTTTGGGGATGTCCCATCTTAACAGCGGCAGATTCAAGACAGGGTAGAGTACTGGATCACATTTGAAAAAAAAAAAAAATGAAAGAACTGGCCCGTAACGCGATAAACACTGAAACAAATACCAAAAATTAAAAATTTACTAATAATACACTCGTTCTAGATCCAAGGAGGGTTGGGTCGTGATCAGCCGCTGCCTCTTAATCTTAATCTGGATTTCTGATCCTGTCCTCTTTTGCAATTTGTAACTGAACATTCAAAGTGTAATAAAGTAATCCCATTTTGTCAAACAAAAAAAAGTTTGTCAGTATGTATTGCCATGGTATCATGACTACTAAGTGATCTTATTATCGTTAATTGCAGTAAGTGGGGTGTTGGGATTAGGAAATATCAATTTCAGCCCAATAGGTCCGAAGGTGATATATGGGATACTTGGCCCATTGTTACCACTTGCCAGTTGTTTGATCATTCGGACGTGCAATTTGGAACGTTTACAAAATTCTATCCTGCTAACTCTGTTTTGCTTGATCCTACAGTTGATCTTATTGTGAGATAGACCATGGAAAATATGAAATTTGGAATATCGATAGTATTTCTTTTTAGGAGGTTCTCATAACAAACAAAATATTGTAAATACCCTAATTGAAAAATGTGGTAAATCCATAAACATTTTACATATTGCGACATTACAGGTTCGAATTATAATATTACATGCATCACAAAAATATTCATTTATGTGTAATCTAATTATATACTGTATGCATACATACATGCCACACAATCTAGTTATGCTCCTAACATGCCATTTTGTTAGGAGATACTGACAGGGTAGGATAGATGGCCACGTCGCCAAGCCGCCATCCATCGGTAGAGGAGAAAACGCGCCAGAGTGTGAGGGATGAGAGCCGATTCCATCGGCTGGGCCAAGCCCACTCCGGCTTGCGGGGCCCACCGGGCCCACTAATTCAAAACAAAACAAAAAAACCATAAACCTTACCCCTTTTCACGTCTTCCCCAAATCACTTTCCCCCCTCTCTCCCCCCCCCCCCCTTCTCTCTCCCTTTCCTCTCCCTTTCTTCCTCTCCCGAACGCAGACGAAGCGCCGCGCGGTGTAGCGAACTCGGCGGCGTCGAATTCGGCGGCAGCAAAGTCTGGCGGCGGTGACGATCTAGGCGGCGGCGGCGACCTTGCAGCGAAGGCGGAGATCTCGGCGGCAACCTTGCTGCGAAGTCGGAGATCTCGGCGGCGGCAGCGAAGCAGCGAAGTCGGAGATCTCGACGGCGGCGACCTTGCAGCGAACTCGGAGATCTCGGCGGCGACGACTTTGCAGCGAACTCGGCGGCGGCAATCTCGGCGGCAGCGATCTTGTCGGCGGTGACGAAGCAGCGAT